GTAGGTGGGATGGATATGATCAACCAAGCCCAGACGCTGATGCAGCGGCCCCACGTGGTTATAGCAACTCCCGGAAGGATTAAGGTTCTCATTCAGGAGAATCCTGATGACGTCCCTGCTGTTTTTTCCAATACCAAGGTTGGTCAGTCATTCTTAATTTAATTTTAATGCCCGTTTTTTTTTCCATATTCAAATTTTTGGGAAGCATTATCTATCTATGAAAAAGGAGAAGACGAGCAAAAACAAAAAAGTTATACACTATCCAAGGTTATTGTAGTTGTATGTAGAGCACCTGATTACAGTTCATAGTGTAAATCTAACCCTATAAAACTATTATACAGTTATTATACACTAGGTGTTGTATAATTTTAAGGTCCATACTGTTGGTGTAAGCCTCAACTGTTAGTAAAACCAAAATCCTATATTTTCCATGACTACTCGGACAGAGTGCCAAGTGTAGCAACCTTGGTTGAAACATCCGAACTCTGGAGAACTGACATGATTGAGATATTTTTATGTTTTCATTTTGCATCAGAGATATGTCTCTAAAGATTAAATTTTGTCCATAAACTCAACAGCTGGGATTCTTTTGTAAAGTGTTTCTGCCAATAATCAGCTGAATTGGCACATGGCTTCAAATGGTTAGGACAAACCTATGCTGCATTTTCGTTTGTGGTATTCTACCTGCTTCTTAACGTCTTTTTAATTGGAGGACTTTACACCATCCCCAACTGTCCGAGGCCCTCCATCTTTTTGCCAGGCTGTCGTAATATTAGCAAGTGCTCACACTAAAATTAAAACAAAAAAAAAGTGATTTTCTTTAATCCCTAAGCTGTGGAATATTTTATCTTGTTTTCATTCTGCTGTAGTTCTTAGTTTTAGATGAAGCGGACAGAGTGCTTGATGTGGGCTTCGAGGAGGAACTCAGAGTAGTCTTCCAGTGCTTGCCAAAGGATCGGCAAACTCTGCTTTTCTCTGCTACCATGACCAGTGATCTACAAACACTAATGGAGCTTTCTGCAAATAAGGCATACTTTTACGAGGCATATGAAGGATTCAAGACAGTGGAGACTCTTAAACAGCAATACGTTTTTATCCCAAAAAATGTGAAGGATGTTTATCTCCTATACATTCTATCCAAATTGGAAGATATGGGTGTTCGCTCGGCCATCATTTTTGTTTCCACCTGCAGGTGGGTGTGTGGAAGTGTGTGTGTGTGTGTGTGTGTGTCAAATGAAATATTACTGCTGTTATTGCTAATTGTGTGGTACATTTGTTGGCACAAGTCTTCTGTCTACCTGCATCCTCCATTGTACTGATGCTTATGCATAATGCTAAATTAATGTTTGTCTTACGTTTTGTACCTTGTGAGCAACAACTGTATCAGACGTGCCCTTTGGATACAGTTGACAAGTGTGAACTGCTTATACATTGGCGCACATATATTGCATTAGTGAAATGTTTGTTAAGCCTGCCAAATAATAGCTGTTGCATATTTGCATGGAATTGGTGCTTCTACAAATTTCATGATGCTAGTGGAAGCATCTGGGTGAACTGTCCTTAGATTCTACAGGCTGGTTGTGATTGTTTATACTAGTAGATGGTGTCCTTTATGTGATAAATACATACTTTATACCAGGTCTCCTAGAGTCTGCAAAATTGGTTTATAGGGGTGACAAAGCTTCTGTTTGTTTTCTTAGTTTACGTTTAATGTCATTTTCTTACATCAATCAGAAGGATGTTAGAATTTCTCTTGATTTGTATTCTGCGTCTGCGTGTGTTTGTCTACTGTAACTGAGCAGGAGTTGTCAGCTTCTAAGTTTGTTGTTGGAAGAACTTGATGTTGAAGCTGCAGCATTGCATTCCTTCAAATCCCAGTCTTTGAGGCTTTCTGCAGTACATAGATTCAAATCTGGGCAGGTTCCTATATTGCTAGCAACAGATGTTGCAAGTCGGGGTTTAGATATCCCAACCGTTGATCTTGTCATAAATTATGACATCCCAAGGTGACAATCCTGGTGAAACTTTACTGATTCATTTATCTTTCTGAAGCTTTTGATTCATATAGTGCTAAACCTTTTCAGGTTTCCACGCGATTATGTTCATCGTGTAGGGCGCACTGCAAGAGCAGGGAGAGGGGGGCTTGCTGTTAGTTTTATTACCCAGGTAAGAAGTCAGATGGGGTTTTTATGTTATCTAGAAACTTTCTCCTAAGAAAAATCAACATTTCCTGATGTAAAAATCTGCAGTAGATAAAGTGGGAAACGGGAAGAGATATGGCCTCGATGGCTGTCTTGTGAAATTGGAGAAGTTTAATACCTCTGAATATGTTAACAGATTGCAGATTGAATCTTGTAGCACCTGGGTGGAAAATTGGTTGATCCCATCTTCTCTTAAATGTTTGCTTTATTACGGGAAAAGGTTAGGATGGGATTGGGATGTATTGTGCTCCCCCCCCCCCACCCTCTTTGCTTTCTTCAATGACATGGGCATTTCTAGTGTCATGGCATCGTAGGTTTGGGAAGCTGGGGTGGAGATTATTACAATTTCAAATTATGGAGGCAGTAAACGCTCAAATTGAACTTAGATATGGCTTTTATAGTCCTCGTTTATTATGAATTGAACTGGAACATAGCACTATGACTTGAGCTAATCTTTTTCTGTCTATTGTTTAATGTGATTTTTCTCAACCTCATATGTGTCTGTGAGACAGCATGTGCAATCAAACACAAAAAGTAGCACCTCCAAGTGTGAATATAAGCTTGACAACTGTGCCTCAGTATTCTCCCACTCCCTAGCTTTTTTTTTGCCACAGTTTTCATGGATTGCTTGATGATCTATTCTTGCAGAATGATGTTGATCTTATTCACGAAATTGAAGCTGAACTTGGAAAACAGTTGGAGGAATTTGAGTGCAAGGAAAAGGATGTTCTTGCTGAAATTACAAAGGTAGAACCATTTTACTGTAAACCGTACTGATTATGTCAGCAAGTTTCCTTTGAATCTTAATTTTTAACTCACCAGAATTGCTTCTTGATACTCATAAATTTCAAGCTCTTGATCTGCGATACGAGTGATCTCCTCTGCCTTTATTCCATCCCACCCCCCCCAAAAAAATCCTTTTTTGTTCCTTCTCTGTTTTCTAGATGGTCATTAAGGAGGAATTTTGGCTCTTTTTCTTTTAACGAAACTGGTTGCAGGGTCCTAAGAATTGGTTCAAGTGGTAGGGACATTGACTAGATAGTATTTGAGGTCATTTGTTCGAGTCTTAAGCCCTTCCTTTAGCTCTTCCCTTTGAAAGTTTCGAGTCTCCCTTGAAATAAAAAATCTGAAGATAAGGAAACCCAGAAAGCTCTTCTATTTGATTTGCTTGAAGTACAAGCTTTTATATAATGTTTAGTGTTGTATTATCCAAATTGAATGTATACCATCAGATATTTTAATCACTTGCTGCACGTAATATTTTCTGGAAGTTTTGCGAAAGGTATGCTCTTGATATCATCAACATCCTTCCTTGCACAGGTTTACAAGGCCAAACGAGTGGCAACCATGAAGATGATGGATGAAGGATTTGAGGAGAAAGCAAAAGCACGGAAAGCTCAGAAGTTGAAGGCACTAGCAGAGAAAGGACTATTGAAAAGTAGTAAAAAGCGAAAAAGGAAGAAGGGGGTATCTGATCAATTGGTGGAAGTTAAGAAAGCTTACTTTCACCATCTTCCCTAATTTTATACGTGCTCACACATAATTAAGTCTATTAAGAGCTATCTTTTGCGCAGCCTTGTTTGGATTGTGGTTTTCGGAGAAAAATTTTTACGTTTTTCGTGAACACATTTTCTAATCATCTTTTTTATCTCGTATGCATCAAATTACTACAATACATGTTTTTTACAGAAGCTTCTAAAATTAGCAATCCAAACATGTTGCCGGGTTGTAAGTTTATTGACAGAAAAAGGAAAATCAGAGAAAAGATGATGAAGAACCCTTTTTTAGCTGGGAGATCAGAAAAATCTTTGTTTTACTGTAGGGTTCCATGTAATGCATAACATCTTCGAATAACTTTTCCACTGGCTGTGTTGTTTATAACCAAGGAGGCCTCACAACTGTGGTGCTATTCTTTTCTTTGGATATCCTAAGTAGTTTTCCAGATTTTGATAACATCATAATAGATTGAGATGATGAGTAAGGAAGCAGTTGCTCGTATCATAAAGGCTAAAGATTGCATAGAGAAATAGAGTGACCATGTGAAATACGCGTGGAGGACTAAAAGAGCACCTAATCCGTCTATGATGAAACTGCGATGCAAGTTAGTGGGTAATGGAAACAAACTGACACGAAGGTTAGTGGGTAATGCTGAAAAACACCCAAATCATAAGGCTCCAGACGTAGTGCTGGGCTCAACTTCAGCATCTACACAAAGTGAAGTAAATAGAATCTCCTCTTAACCCCGGATTGTAATCCTTAGCCATTCATTAGTACCCAAGAACAATGAGCGACCCCCTAAGCTCGTCACTATCCATCCACTTGCTCGCATCAAAGCACTCTGTCAACCTGTAGCCATGTTTCTCTGGCAAATCAGCTTTGAAAGTTTCAAAGTACCTTAAGACAAGCAGCAACTCACCTGCGAGATACTTCTTCCGACATAGTTTGTGCCCTCTTTTAACACAGCACCTTTGTTAAAACGAACACAAACATGTTGATGAGAGGGATACTCTGATTTTACAAGAGTCATCGTGGGCGACTGAGATCGCAAGCCTCAAAATGATCACTCTCGCACAAAGCATAAACTGCTAGTAAAGATCAAAGACCGCTGTGTGCCGTGCCATTCATTTGCGCAAGAAACAGACCAGTTCACCAAAGCCCGGTGCGAACGAGCATTAAATCTGATTTGAGTTCATCTTCACTGTCAAAGATCTCAACCATTGATGACTCAATTATATGTGCAACTAATAATATTCATGACCCAATTATGCCAGCTTAGCTCCATGTAGGCACACATATATAAAGACAATAAATATAAGACCCCTTCCTACAATAGCACAGCACTTGTGAAAGTATCAAGTCTTGTATTCCCAGCTCCCCAAAAAATCTTAAAAAAAAAGGCATGTATACTATTTCCTGGACATTTGCTTCCAGTCAGAATTCATAGTGCATTTACTTACCGGAAACAATTGAGAGAACAAATTGTCAAATGAATCTGTGAAAGGAATTTTTATACCTAGTCTAAAGGAATTTTTATATCTAGTCTACTTTTCCTCTTATCTTTCATTTATTCTTTTGGTTTTACGGGGTTGGACAGGGGTAGGGGGAGGGGTTTTCAACTCGCTAGTCACTACCCCAGGGTTGTGAGCATATTTTCTGTCCTTTGAAACAATTATAGAAAAGGTTTCAGCCCGTTAGTTAGACGCCCTATTAACAGGTGTCCTCGCCTGGGCAGCAGCTGACATTCCACGTAATCGACCAGCAATTTCAGTGAAAGACGGCCTCACAACAGGATTGGGGGCCCAACATTGCTCCATTAAATTTCTCCATTCAGGATCACAGAAGCTTGGAATGGATGGCCTTAATGTGTTGTTTACAATACCTCCTATAGACCAAGGGGGGGAAAACCAGAACTTTTTTAGTCGAATTAAAATTCAAAGCTGGATCCCAAAAATGCTAAATCGATCACAAGTAAATCTCAACCAAAAGATAACATGCAAGGAAGCTAACATCAAAACTTCGATCAGTTACTATACATTCACATCTCTACGCAGCAGCCACATGAGAAGTGCTAAACATATATTTATATTACTTGTACGAGAAAAACACAGTGAAATTGATTACTACTAAACAAAGCATTCCACATAAAGCAGTCTATCACAGAATACAGTTGATGAAGCACCAAAATAAATTGATTTTGAGAAGAAGGATTTCCAAAATCAGTTTGAGCATTAATGGACAGAATCCTTTCTGCAAATTGATTTAACATATATGCAATTCAGAGACCGACCAATTTAGAGTGATATTCTGAGATTCTGTCTGGATATACTTCTTTCACAGAGAATCTATCCTCTAGACTCTGCAGTGGGCTAAGAATGGGCCCTGTACCCCCCCCCCCTCCCCAATTCTTTTTGGGGAATCAAGCAGTCCCCTTCTCTCATACAAAATGCAGGTTTTCTTGTCTGATGAAAATGATTGAGATATAGAACAAGCATATTTTAAGTACTTCACATGTCCATGCAAGTCACTTGGCATGTCCATTGCAATCATACTCGGAAGCATTTCATGGAAACCCAAATTTTCATTAGCATAGTGCTACAAGAGTCACATAGTAGCAAAGCATGGTACAGGTCTTTGATGTTCATCTAATGTTACACTACAAGTAAACATTATGCTCCAGATTCTGCTGATGCGTATTTTCAAATAGTGAACTAAAAGTGACACCAATAAGATGATCACATCAAGAAATTCGTAAAATGTCAGCTATATCAAAGGGAAAAAGCCCACCTATAATTGCTCCATAATGCATGTTGGCGTAAGGCTCCTCACCAGTCAGAATCTCCCACAGAACAATACCAAACGAGAAAACATCAACCTGTTGAACAAACATCCATGATATGAGGTTACAAACAAGTTGACTAGACACACAGAAACCAACTAAAACAATACAAAAGTTCAACTCGATATCAGTGTATCACATCCAGCAAGCTCTTTGTTTCCTCATCTTTTTATGCTTCCTTTTTGAGTTGTATACTTGTGCAGCATGTAAAAAGGTGAAAACAGGAGGTCTGCATGCTGATATGACCATCGATCTAGATGTCATCAAAAGAGGCTTCCCTCAAACCCTTCTACCCCAATTTCTTCATAGGAATTTACATGGTGGCAACTCACCTTTTCAGAAACCTTATTGCTGCTACCATTCAGAAGCTCTGGAGCCATCCAAGGAAGTGATCCCCGAACTCCACCAGAAACCAAAGTGTTCCTTTTTATTTTTGAAAGACCAAAATCACCAACCTGATTCATAGCACTATACAATATCACTTGCTTGACATCGAACTATGCTTGAAAAGTCTAGTGGATGCCTACCAGGGTACCATCAGAAGAATCATTGTATTCATTAGCAACATGTAAAACAAACCTAAAATGAGTACCTTGCATATAGGTCGTGAAGAATCTTTTAAATTGACCAGTAAATTATCGCATTTCAAATCAAAATGCACAATGTTCTTTGAATGCAAATATTCCATTCCAAAGGCTGCATCCATGGCAATAATAAGCCGCTTCCGACGATCAAGATGCCTGCAAAGTTAGATATAACACAACAAAGAAGAAAACTATGAGCAGCTAGAGAAACGGTGGGCATGAAGAGTGAGATTGGTTGACAGCAGAATACTGTCGGTGAAATTCGCAAAAGACTCAAGCTTTAGGGACTGCTCCACTTCGTTATACTCAAAAAGACGAAGAAAGAACTTTAGGACCAAACCTTACGATAATATAGAAGGCAGAGCCTTTACCTATCCTTTCGCAGTAAAACATGCCTTAAAGAACCATCAACCATATATTCTGCTACCGTAGCAAGTATCCCTCCAGGCCCATCTTGCACCACACCATAAAAGGCCACCACATTTGGGTGGTGAAGCTTTGACAGAATTTCAGCTTCTCGCCAAAACTCTATGGTCTGCAAATATACATACATACATATATGTATAAATAGTAACTATAAAACAGTATACACAACAAGAGAAGAAGCATAACATGAGAGCACAACTAAGAGTGTGAATGCCTGTGTGCGGTATGCCTACATATCAAATTATCAAACAGTGATAATAAATAGCATATTCCACCGTCAAATGAGTCTCTTCAGCTAAAAAACTATGGTTCATAAGAACAGAAATTTATTGCTGGGAAGACATCATCAAAATAGTAAGAGACTACAAATGAGCTATCATTACCAATCTTTCCTGCTCTGAAGATCGACCAATGAAACAACTCTTCTTTATCCTTTTGATTGCAACATCTGTTCCTCTCCATTTCCCATGACAGACTGTTCCAAATGTGCCAGAACCAAGTTCCCTTAGTTCCTCAAGATCTTTGTTATTTATGAGCTATGAACAAAATTACCAAATTCTAATCAATGTCCCCTGCTTAGAGTCAAATAAGAAATGACATGGTAAACACAAACTACTATAAGAAAAGAAGACTTCTTTGCTAATCAATTTAAAGCAGGTTATGTTTACAGGTAGCTTTATTCTTATAACCCTCTTCCCAACAAATTGTACATTTTTTATCCTCTGTTTGACTAATTTTAAGTGTATGCCCGCACTACGATGGGAGAGAACAAGAAAAACATTATAGACAAGGTAGAGACATGCACAAAAAGGTGAACTGGTCTCGAAATACTTTTTCACGACTAAAAGTATGGCATCTATGATTTACAACTAAACTCAGAATGTCCTAAGTTCCGGTTGTATTTGACATCTTTACACAATTGATTTCTTCAAGCAAGATGTACAATACGCATTAATCATAAAATGAGACTTCTTTTGAGTGATTTTTCTTCTTTTTTTTTCTTGCTCTAAAGGGGGAGGAGGTCCTGGAGATGTGGTTATTTTGGCAGTACTCATATTTAAGCAGTTGAACACATTGAGCAAATGAGTTGACATTCCCGTTAAAGAGAGAGTGAAACACTAATGCAGCAAAAAAGACTAACCTACTCTTACCCTCTATGAGGTATCAGGGGATTAAATATAGAAAGATCATGCACAAGTTTCAGTTGCTAGTGAGCATCATTTTTTATAGCAGCCAAGTTTAATCCTCGGCAAATATACAGAGACAATTTTATCTCATTTGGTCACCTTGTCGCAACTCTCTGCCTAATAATTGCTAATTTTCTAACCAAAAAACGAGATAACAACATGAGATTGTTCATCATTGACTTAATCACCAGGAACATCCAAAGAATTAAGATGGAAGAGTATTGATTCGATTAGCTCCAACCAGCAAGCAATGCTGGCACATTATGAGAAATAACAGTAGCAAACAATAAAGCTCACCCATAAATCATCAGAAAAAATGAAAATGGAATGAAAAGGCATCTCACCTGCAGAGAGTCTATATCAATATCCACCAAAAACGGATCGAGATTCGGCAAACCAATGTCTATTTGTCCGTCCTACCGGCATAAATAGATATTAGATAATAAGCTGAAAATAACATACCTTATAAATGTTTATAAACCGGAGGGAAAAGCACCTCATATTCCGAGCCTTCTAATCTTGTATGATCTGTCAAATCATCATACTGTATGGCTTCACTGATTTGCACATTAGATGGGTGGTAATCAGAATGAGAAACTACAGCTTCAGCTGCATTTGTACATGGTGATTCTTTTCGGTCATCTTCTCCAAAATTTCCACCCGTATCTACATGGCCTAAACAAATTCCCTCCTGTGTCAATGGATCAAAACAATAAGCTACAGAAGCTTCTTCGTCAACTTTTGGCAGTCCAGCCAAATATCCAGTATGGTCTTGGTCAACTAGAGACACGTCCTTTCGTGCAAAATCATTCCCAACCAATTTTTGGAAGAATGACCAGTGCTTAGGTTCATGGTTTTCAACGTTCAGACTCGTACCAGCTCCATCCTTCTGGAGTGGTCCAGCGTCTGCAGGGCTATTAGAAAGAATGGCCTTTGAGAAAATGTCTGAAAGGAAATCACGAGGAAATCTGTCATTTATATCAATAAGAATATCTGGCTGCTCAGGTCTAGAAGCATCTGATGTCTCCCCATGATTAATATCCTTTGTTGAGCTCCCTATCCAAGCAGAAGAATGCCCATGCGCATTATCTGTCATGGTCTCACTAACAACCTTGTCTACCCTATGAGCTTCAGGAAGACTACATACTGGATGTTCTGGGTGTTTTCCAGAATCCACTCTGTTCACAAAACTAACTTCAGATTTAGCTTCGGCTATGTCATCGACCAGGAGATTCTGAGCATTATACTTGACACGACTCATATCACGGTCAGCAATTAGACCCTGATTCTTGTGATCATCATCTTTGGCATCAACAGAGTTAGGTACAGTCTGCTTCATCTTTGAAAGTGTCATCTGTCCATCAACAGTGGTTTGAGAATCAACAAAACCAGGATGATCGGCAGAAATGCCTTGCTCTATCTGCATATTGGACTTTTCAGTTTGGGATCTCTGAACTGATTCTGCAATTAACTCCAGCTCCAGAATATCTGCATGTGAATGTGTCATAAGAAACTGAGAACTACGTGAATTGTCTGACTTGGACAACCTGTAAAGTAGCTCTGCTTGCTCTCTTGGGATTCGTTCAGAACGAAAGACACTATGTGAAGAAGCAGAAGGCTCGAAGTAGCTCAAATCAATTGGACCAGATTCAGTAGCAATACCACTTCCAGCATAATAGTCACCACTTGGTCTACCTACCTGATCTGAATTAGCAGCATCTGCCAGTGACGTGACCTGTGGATGATCCTTTGCCTTCTCCTCATTCTTTGATGACATTAAAGGAGATTCTCTGTCCAGGTTAGGGAACACGATTGATGCTTCATCAACAGGAACAAAGTCCTTTATGTTATCATTAGATCGTTTTGAGGAGAAAAGGTGATCATTTACTAGTAACTGATCACTTGCACTCTCACCTTCTTGGTAGGCAGTACCACCAACTTTCAGCTTCGCCTCTTTAAGTTGCATCTCTTTATTTGCACCCTCCAACAGCTGCTCTACAAAGCCCTTTTGTTGACCTACATGCCCATGAAATTGCCATTGAACAGCACCATCAACAGGTGATAAATGGTCCGGGTGCAACTTATATTGCATGGATTGCTGCCTATTTTCATTGTAATGCAGCATTTGTCCATGATAAAAGTGCGAATCAGTTGCAGAAGGATTGGAGGTATTTGGTAGAACAAGTTGAGAAGGTTCAGTGGTTGATAATGATACATCAAAGTCAGCCAAAGGAAAGGTACCAGCACCAACATAGCCAGCTGCAGCTCTATTTGTCTCCTCAACAATTGACCCATCTAACTCATCCAAGTTGTTTGCGGAACAACTTGCCAGACCATTCAGAGTTGAGCTTTTCCTCAATCCCATGTCCATGCCATTGACGGCTACTACATACTGAAACTCAGAACCACCATCAGAATTCGCTATACTAAAATGAGCATCATCCAGATCACTAATGGAGAAGAGAAATAATCTAAGCTTATTTGATCCTTCTCCATCTTCTAGTACTTTGCATTCCTCCATCATATTCTGCAAATCCTCATCACTAGACACAGAAACTAAGGCATCAAGATCCTCCCCAGGAAGCTGGTATTTAATGGAATAAGTTTGGTCATAAATCGCACTTGTTTTCTGCAGCAATTCCTGCCATGCAATGTCCTTGTTTATGCGGATCATGCGAGTTTCACCCCCAACATACCTGAGCTTTCCATCACTTGGACGGGGTATGATTTTACCCCCAAAGCTGCAGAGGATCTTCAGCTTTATTGATGAGCCATCAGATGCTCCAGACAATGTATAAGCAAGGGTTTGATAGTTGTTGTAGTCTGATGAAGTTCTTGGAAATGATTGTGCAGATACATAGTAGCTTTTGTTCTCATACGGTGAAGAATTATTTGGCTCAAGCACTTTTGACCCCTTTTCAACCGCAGAAATATCTGGCCCACTCTCAGATCCAGTATGACTAATGCCTAAAATGCCTTTCAGATCCAAATAACTAGGTGTACAAAGGGGATCCCCATTAACATATGAAACAAATTTCTTACTGGGATTAACCCGATCACGCATGAACTCAAAAGCAAATTCCTCACCTGTTTGTATAGAGTAATTACGCACAGGCTTAACTTCTGAAATGTTTTGCTCTGAAGACCTCACATTTGCATTTGCATTTACATAACCCAGAGAGTATGCTACATGTTGAGGATCTAGTTCTCCATTACAATGATCTGCAGAATTGCGTTGAGCTTGCATATGAGTTTTTGACTGCTGCATCATAGAGAGAATAAACTTCCCCCTCTCTGAAACCCGTTTATACAGGAACAACCAATTGTAACAGCACGATACAGTTGTTATAAGGAAGACATAAAGAAGCACCACAACCTTTGATGCAACAGAAAAGTATCTGAGCCGGTAGACAAGTCTATTGGCACTTGTGAGTAACATGTATCTTAAATCTCTGTAACATTGCTACAGAAACTTGGAAGCTTTCAGATTGAACTGTTCGCAGACAAAGGTAACCAAATTTTTGCTATCGCTACCAAGAAATTGGCAGCCCAAAGCACAGAAGCAGTCTTCTCTAAGAATCCACAAGCAATCAGAGCACACTCACCACATAATCTGCATAAAAATACATTAGTCCAGGCAAGCAATTCGACTTAACACTAAGTAGATAACTAAAAACAAGTCATGACCGATGCCTTAAATTAACTCACCATATTAAGTAAAAAAGTTCTTCTGTTTGCATCAACTTAAAAAAAAAAAAAAAAAAAAAACCCTAAAAATCAGGAGAACTAAAAATAATGGATAGGTACTTTGCTTGGGAAAAATAATCGAGATTTTAAGTGAAGCTGATATTTTTAGTGGCCTTTCATTAAAAACACCTCCAGCCCTACAACTAAATATTCCAAAAGTTTATATTGCATTTAGAAACTATAGCGAAACTTTCATATCCAAATTTTATTTATAAGACACTGTCAGACAATTTTTCAAATTTACTTCAAAAACCCATTTTAAAGCCATTAGCTCTGTCCATAATATTCTACCTACGGCACACCAATGAGAACTATGGTTCATCTAAAATGAAATATATTCCATATCGCCAGGTACATCAGTGATGGTAAAAAAGAAAGTAAAATTTTCCAATAAAAGATACGGAAATACTAACATGAAATGACAAATTTGAGGGAGGTAACATGTGGAATAAATCTATCGTCCATGAGATAGAAGTAAAAGAAGTAATTATTTCACCAAGAAGCTTCAAAGGGAACATTCTATTGCTACATGTTCAAAAATGGCAGATACGGGTAGTCGTTATAATATCCACCGTACATTAAGTCATTAACAGATAATCACACCAAACATATCGAATGATCAATCAAAATAGAACAGATGAAGTAGAAAAGTTGAGTAAACATTAAGGGAAAAGCTCGAATCCAAAAGAAATACAGATCTAATGTAGCAAAAGAGTAAAGAAAAAATACAACAAAAAGGTATCTTGGGTGGAAGAACCAATGGAAAAGGAAAAAGAAGAAGTTGGTGGAGTAATGAAATATAAGAAATTAGCTCAGCATGGGAAGGTTGTAGTTATGTCTTGGTACAGTCAAACATATGACATTACCTTAAAGATGCGTAGTAGTGTAGAGCACATAAAAATACGTCTCTCCCTCTCAATCCGGGGCCGAATTTCTTATACTAAATGATAGTATAAATAAACCTCCTCCTCCTCCTTAGTAGTCCTTAAATCAGTTGGAAAAGAATTGGATTTGGTACTCCGCCTCCCTTCTTAATCAGTAATCAATCTGGTGCGTCTTCTCTTCTTGCGATGAATAGGAATAAAGAATTCCTTCTTCTTCTTCCACGCACGTTTCCAGTTTAATAAGCTGGAGTTTGAGTTGAATCAGATTCATAAATGAAACGGTTGAATTGAAAATTTTCCCATTAACCTTCGGACCTTTCTGCGTAGGTTTGTAGTCAAAATAGAAGGTCATATTCATTTGTCCATTCCCCATTTCGCCCCTCCTTGCTTGGCAGTTGGCTCTTCTACTTTCCTCTTTTTCCAATTCCAGTTTCATCTATCTAGGAGTAATTCTTTTTTCGATTTTAGGATTTCTTTATTATTTTACTTTAACAAATAAAGACAAAGGATTCTCTTCTCTTCTTCTTTTCTCTTTTTTTTTTTAATTTTGCTCCGATGTTGAAATAAGGCTTATGAAAATATCTAAATTATTATTTGTATTTCTATAAAGACTTCGATTTATTGATGATCAATGCAAAGCTGAAAATAGATTCATCTGAATTGCTATCTACCGGTGGCATTTTGATGATGGGTTCTGCGCCAATAATTAAATATTGATACTCTTTTTTCTTTTCTGTTTTGTTTGGGTTGGTTGGGTAAATACTGCAAATAGGGGAGAGACGTTTTTAATGTTGGATTCACCAGAAGAAAAAAAATGTGTGGAAAAAAAAAAAAAAAATCTTACCCGCCACCCAAAAGAACTCCAGGAATGAATTTCCCCTACTATCACCGCCACCCAAAAGAATTACGTACATAAAAACTGATGCTTGGCCCACGGACGGACGGGCAGATTGTCTTGCTCTTGCGTCGATTCAACTTCATGTTCGTTCCACTACTGTTTTTTCCACTCAATAATAATATATAATATTTGCACAATGGGTCCAATTTTCACCAAATTGTAAAAACTGAGTTGAATGTTACTACTTGCTAATGAAACGCAACTGGTTGCAGCTAAAAGTAACTAAAAGCCATGGCCGGCAGGAGACCTGATGATGGCTGACAGACCACCGGCACCACACCACGCCACTTTCATTAACTTCAACAGATATCGGATTTTCTTAATGTATATTGTGGCCTTTTTACTGCGCTTTATAAATGCAATGCATTTCTTATACTAGTAGTTCCCAGTTGGGTACGTACTTTTAGTCAGCACCAAGGTCTATTAGTTCTTTTGAAAGCAAGTGACATATATATATATATATACACGAGCACTCGTACAAGAGAAACATACTCCAGGTACCATACGCTGTAAAGAAATGTGAAAATTCCACCCCCGACTTAGAAGCAAGTAAATGACTGACTTCAAAAAGAACGTAAAAACTATATATGCATATGCCATGTTGCCGGTAGTGCACACGGTGCTGCATCAGTCCAATCCTTTTACCTTGTCATCTGCATGGATGCACTCGGTCGTCTGTCCTTGTTCCGCAATAATGTTGAAGGCATAAAAGAAAAAAACTGTGATGGCGCTATCAGCTCAGAGAATTCTGCAGTCTCCTCCTCCTCTGAAAGGGGAGCAGGGTCATGTATCAACAAATACATATTATGTCCTGTCCGCTAATGCATAAAAGAACAAATACCTACTTCTTCACGTCTTCATAATGGCTCAAGGCTTCCTCAAATTTCAGCCAAAGTGGACCCGTCTCCTGAAGGTTTACATTCTGCGGTCCAGCAAGATAAGCCTGAACAACAAACTGGGGTGTTCTCTCCCTGTTGATACCATCACGTAACCTCTCAAGTCATATGAAAGACACAAATGGCTAGGAAGTCTATTTTGACATCTAAACATGACCCAAAAACATACCTCCCTTCGTATTCTGATAGCCAAGCCAAATAGGCAGCACCAAAATACATGGAGACAAAAGGCTTGCAGAGGTCGTCAACTGAATCTACTATGTAAGCCTTGTAGCCGACATCCCTAGTCGTCAACTCAAGTGAGTTAAAAGCATTAATAAGATGTACAAATCGCTAGTTACATGATGCTTTAGTTTTACAAAGAAGAGAAAATGCCCCACCTAAAAATAGAAGCCCTTTTCAAAATCAGACATCAAAAGAAAAAGGTTGAAGAAGCAAAGCCGAAGCATTTTGAGGATTACAAGTGCATTGACCTTTTAGACTTTTACAAGATAATTCCACGTGGGTCAAGGAAAAATTAGACATCAAATACCATTTAAACTGATGTCATTAAGCAACAGCCCTTAGGCTCGTATACTTGGCCAACATAAGTAGGTGTCCAGTGAAATCATCTAAGAATGTTAAAAGCCTAGGAAGCAATAAAATGAGCACTCATCCTCAGATAAGAAATGGCAGATTTCGAATAAATCACATACTTGTAAAGCCATCGTGCTGTCGGGTAGTCAATTCCCATCAAACCAGTACGTTGTCCAACTCCATTCACAAAGCGCATGCTAACAATCTCCGCAATAGCACACAAAACAGTCTGCACGAGAATGAGCTTATAAATGATAAAATACATTATCTCCTTCCCTCAAATACACAAAGCAGTCAATTCCCATCAAGGAGAATGATGTAACCACACTAGAAGAGTCCAATAAGAAGAGTCATGTTAGGCAAAAGAACGCATCTTAAAAGGGCAGCAGAATGGGTTTTGTCTAAGTGTCTGTTTGATAACATAAAAAAGTGCTGAAACTGAATTCATTCAGACATTCAGATGTTTTGAGTGTTTGATAAATAAAAATTTTTCTGCTGAACTTATTAAGTGGTGCTGAATTTGTATGTATTTTTTTCAGCATAAGAATTGTAACTGAATGCTTAATTTGATAAGAAACAAGAGATTTACTTCAACTATTTTATCTTATCTACCAAATCTATCCTTGTTTGTTAATTACATTCAAAATCCTTATTGAATTAAACAATTTAATATTTTCTATCCAAAATCCTTATCTAATTAAACAACCTGACATTCTCTGTCTAATGGCTTTCTACTTCTATTTTCTCCTTATTTAATGATATTTTTTACAATTTCTTTATGCTCCTCACATTTGTCTACTCCTTATCCTTTTCCATCTTTCTACTCTTTCATAATTTTGTCATTTTTTTACTCCCAATTTTTTTTATTGCTACCGTACTCACCGATCTCAAATTCATTTTTTCCAAGGTAAGTGACATTGATTATTTGTTGTTTTGCTTTCAACATTTTTCCATTGAAGTAATTAAATTTCTATATAATTTGGTGTGAATTTAAAACTTGTTTATTGCAGCTTCCTTTTGCTTATATTTAGACTTTTCTTATCAAACTCTAATTTAAAAATATATTTGCACCGATATTTGGACTTTTTCATAATATATTTCTTCTTTTATATTACTTTGATTTAAAAATAAATATTGGCATTTTCATACCTAACAATTTTAAACTAATTAAATCATATGTTCTATTTCTTTTTTGGATTGAAAGATAGAAGGGCAAAATTGTACAATTTAGTTTATTAAGCATTAAGTTATAAATGTTTATCAAACAGTATAAATATATTCAGCATTAAGATTCAGATATTCATATATCTCTTTTCAGTGCTTAATATTCAGCAAATTAATTGTTTCAGTATTCAGAATTCAGAATTCAGAGTTCAGATTCAGTTTTATCAAACGGAGCCTAAGAAACCCTCTCTTTTTTTCTAACTGAATGGACAGTAATCAAGTACTTACAGGTTCTACTCGTCTTGTGCTGAAGTGCTTTGAAAGAATGATTTCCGAAACAGCCTATAGAAGAAACAGCAGCATAAATCAGGCACAGTTTTGAGTCTGAACAGTACAGTAAGTGCTATACAGAAACGTGAACAATTCTTGAGGCTTCTAAGATGAGAAAATGCTTCCTCTTATCTCACTGGAAAGGTCAAACAGCAGAGATATCTTGGACAAAATTTCATGAAGCATTACCATCACAAATGAACGAATCCAAGCGCTCAATGAAGAAGTTTGAATGATTACTTGTTCGCTGGATTGTCACAATTAGCACATCTAGACTATATAGCATGTAAACATATCAAATACTAATAAACAAGGATAAGAGAGTGATTTCCGAATTATAGAACTAATTAATAACATCAAGATATTTGCTTGAGTATTTGTTTTGTCCCCTTTAAGGCATCCTATGATTAAATCATATCAATTGAATGAATATAGGTACAAACAAAACTCATTACGTCAGTCAACCCAGCTATTAAAAGAAATTAAAAACTCCCATAAGCCTGCAGCAGTTTTGTCTAAGAAAAGCCCATGACGTGTCTGCTTGCGAGCACAAACAGTTAATTGGCATTAAAGATGAATTAACATCAAGTGAAACTACACAGGTATGCAGAAAACGAACTTAGAGCACAATGGAAAAGGAAATTGCAAAATGCGTTCCCAAGAGAGATCAAATTAAAGAAAAAGGCTAACATTCAATCGTCAGTCATTAAATACGCATTGTATAAACAATATCTCACCCTTAGTTCTACACGGGAAAGATAAGGCCTCTTCTCTGTGTCATGAGAAAATCGAACTTTTCCCTTTTTCTCGCCTGACTTCATCCATTCCTTATTGACATTGGGATGAATCCACATATCTTCCATGTCTTCTTTCGAAGTTCTGGAGTCCCAAGTTGTATTCAATGGACCTGCTGCCTCATGTATAAACACACAAAATTTCTCTTTCAGCACAAATTGGAGTGAATTAATAAAGATAGAATGAGATTCACAGTAGTCATATCATAAAATTCAAACTGCTAATTTGGTAAAAGTCAAACTAGTCAGGTTCCAAGGATTGACCTAGAAAAATTGGAAATAGATTAGACTGATTAGGCACTACTTGCAAGGAATTCATACTAATAAAACACCAGAAAAGATATTTCATTCTGGAGATGCAGCCTCATCTTCAATGAGGAAAGTGCACTTCTTCTGTCTCCTTAACTAAGGTAGCCAAACAGAATTTCAGCTTTCTGTTTTGGTGTAAAGACAAAATAGTTAAACCCAAAATGTTCTAGAAACTAAGATGAGATATTTCTAGGACAGAACAACTTAATCTGAGTCCTCCACTTATTCTGTCACTAAACCAACAACATAACCAGAATCATATTCCAACAGGGAGACTGCATTTTTTCATAGATTAATCAGAAGATAACGAAATTTGAAACAGAGTCAAAAACAGCGGAACATGTGTATCGACCAACTTATAAAGCAATGATCATAATACTTGCACATAAAAAAATTTACAAGTTCAGCTCAACTTATCACCTTCGAGTTAACGAGGAACCATACACTAATCAGCAACAGAGTCTTATGTGAGTATATATATTGACACAATTCGTTTACCCACCCTAGATTGATTAAACTGACAACTATATGAGTTATTTCAAGCTACAGTAGAGCATAGCAGTAAACATTCATTGTTGCACAAAATCAAAATGATCTCCATGCCAAAAATAGCATCTTCATCAAGTAGCCAGTAGAATGAGAATACTAGCTTCTAAATAGGGATTTACTTCCTTGTATTATTGTCAAAACTACAAATTATGTAGTACAGATATTAAATAAAAAAACCAATAACGTCAGCCTTGAGACTGTAGTGTTAAAGAAAACAATATTGATGACAAAGAACCTAGGTTTACGCTTATCAAACTTGTAGCAAAGCACCTTTTGTTTTTGTAACTGCAGGAGCTGCTGAAGAAGCCGTAGGCAGAGGACTAACTTCAAAGACTTTTCTGCAAAAACATTAACATAAAGTGGTTGTTAACAATTATTGCCATGTATATTATTATATTATGCTGGAGTTTAATGCCAAATATCCTTCTGAACAATTTTTAAGATACCTCCATAAGGCATCAATTTACATCTATTATGTCAAATTGTACGGCAATTAGAATAAATTGTTTCTCAGTACTCATAATCTCACTCTGATGGCTTGCTAGGTAGAAGCACTAAATTGCCATAAAAAACCTATGCGAGAGAGAGAGAGAGAGAGTTCAAATTTAACAGCCTTTGGTATTCGCTTGAATGATAATCAGGTCTGGATTTCAGAAACTTTCCATTCTCTTCATCAAGTGCAGTCTGCTGTTTAAATTATGTTTCCAAATGATAGAATATTTATTGGTGGCAGAAATTTATTCCCACAAGTCAGGACATTTTTGCCATATCCACTATAATAAGTTAACTGTCTGACTAAGCCTACTCTTTGTTCTAGGTAACTTTGGATTTTAGAACAATCATTCTCTAATAACATGTTGGTAGAGAGATGCCTGTCATTTCGTAGACATAAACATTCAAGACTCCATGTGCTGTATCCAAATATCACTTGCATGATGATTGCTCAAGATTTCTGTTATTATAGGATGTAATGTATCAAAAACTAGTCTGGAAAATCAAGCACCATTCCAACATGAATCAAACATGAACTCCAAAATAATACATGTGATCCATACACATGAATCCAACATGACATTTGCATCTTGGTGAAGAGCTAATAAATAAAAATCATGACAAAAAGTAAATACCTAGATGGAAGACTTTCCTTTACAGCAAGATACTGTTTCCAGTATTGCAATGTTGACTTGTGAGCCGCCTTCTTTGTGCCAGCTTTATAAGCCCTTACCATGAACTCCTCGCTTCTTTCTCTGAATAAACAATTATATGTTAGACACTAGCATTTATAGCACTTTGAAATTTCCACATCAACTACAATATTCCCAAAAGTTTACTCAATGCCTTTTGAAAAAAGATGTCCTACTTTACGGGACAACTCACACCCGTAAACTACATCAAACAGAGAAATAAAAGCACAGGGGCAACCATGTTGATCATGACTATTTGATAACTATAGGAATGTGTTGGAGTACCACCTTTTTTCTTGCATAAGGTATCTAGAAACAAATAAGGTATTACACTGCATTTTTGTTAGAGAAAAAAGGAGATGATTCGCAGCGCATAACATGGGATGCAAAGCAGTTATTTTCAGACAAAGAGTCCAAATTAAAAAGGATACCACAAAAACACAGATAAAAAAATTTTCAACATACTTTTGGTCATAATTTGACAACCACTTGAGATATGCAGCACCAAGATATACATTTACGAAAGGCTTGTATAGAACTTCTGGATTCCCTGATATTTCATACCTCTGATAACCCAAATCTCTGCAGGAAAAGTGCTTGCGTTATATTCATTATGAATAAGAGCAACCGAAAGTAAAATATTTTGAAAAGGCCAAACAGTCTTGATCAAAATCTTACTCCAATTCATACCTGACTAGCCATTGTGCAGTTTTTGGTAAGATCTGCATTATCCCCAGTGTAGTCTCCTTTGATTTTTTGTTATACTGAGTAGCCAGAGGCTGCCTATCACTTTCAAGAGTAGCGATTGCACAAATCATATCCTGCAGTACAGGAAGAAGACAATTAGGACTATATATTTGAACATCATTTATCAATCGACTAAGAATCATAAATTTTTACTGAAACTGAAATTTTTATTATTGAACAACTTTTTTCTTTGGTATCAGATGTTCAGCTGAACTTTCAATTTAATTCAGGATGAAATGAAGCCAACTGAATTGAGCTTGGGTTTAAACAAGCCGAACTCAACAAAAATTTAGCAAGCTCGCGCTTGAGAGCACCTAATATAAAGATATAGTTCGAGCCTAAAAAGACTAAAATAAGAATAGATAATAATTATAAAACTCTTTTTAGTGGATAAACTAGACATTATACCATATTAATGGGCTCGATCAAGCTTGACGAACCTTCGAGTAGAGCATCATAGTACTCGAGCTTGGTTACTCATTCGACAGGTGAATTGAGCTGCTTGAGCTTTTTGGATACCAGGTCGAGTCGTTGACCAAGCAGGCTCGCCAAGCTCATAAACCAGATCAATTCATTTGCACCCTTAACATCACTAGATGTGGACCTCACCCCAATTCACAATTCTAAAGATGGCAATTCAAGTATGATACATTATTATGTTCCAAGCCTAGAGGAAATTGGCGGTGAAAACATTATGTGGGATTTGATCAACTGTGAGAGGAGATCTCAATAAAGATCTATATTGGAAATCATGATATGAAGATGTCCATGGCATGATGCTTTTGATAACAAAACTTTTTTAAGATTTCATATCACACATGCAATGACCAGCATAGATGCACTATCTTGAGCTGCCTCTCCCATGGCCATTGACTGACTGACTGACTGTAGCACCAGAGGAGAATGATAATTTCACAACAAATAACATCAATATTTTACATGTCAGGAAATCATTGTTGAGCATGTTTAAATAAATTAAACAAGAGAGAATGATGAAAAACTACGGATTACCCCGTCAATAAATGGAACATATGAGCTTTTCGTTATGCCTTAATGGTTACTAGACTTATACTATGTGAGATGTTCGTGCTGCATTTCACATGAGATGAGAATGTCATACCGAATCTATCTGTGAAACAAAATGCCTTCGGACTATGATCCCTGCGACAGCCTGCGAAGGGAAAAATCCAATTTAAGTCAGGAAAGAACAGGAAAAAAAAAGAAAACTGAATAATAGTAGTACTTTGAGAAGCGGGTCATTTTTGTGACGTCAGAACCAATTTTTTCAGAGCATGTGGATATAAACATCATTTGTTGGTCAAGATCCAGACGTAAGACAAGGTAAAAGTGTAGAGTAAAACAACAAACTGTAACTTTCATTTCTGTTTTCGATAAGTATTTCAGTCGAAACTGCTTTACAACCAATACCTATTGATAAATCAAAATCAAAGCCATGATACCAACAACCACTTCAGGAGTCTAATAATGTCCAGAGTGAAGTTAAAAACTATCAAAATTAGCAAGGTATGCTAATTAGAGTGATTTCGATGCTGACATACGCATTACCTTGATCTCAGTTTGTGTCAAATAAGGTTGGCCATCGGGATCACGTGAGAGGTGGACTTTTGAACCTCTAGTTTCTCCAGCATTAAGCCATTCGGCTTGCACAGCAGGATCCATCCACATGGCCTCCAAGTCCTCGGGGTCCACACAATCATCCCAGTAAATAAAGCTGACAGTCATCCTCTAATTTGCGATAGCTTTTCCAGCATCTAACAGCAGAAGGAAGGCGGACTATTAATGAAGCGCCAACTGCAGCAATGCAAAGACAAGCCCGCAACACATGAGTAAACATTGCTGTTGGCCCAGAAATAAAGATGTGCCATGGGAGACTTGGACTGGTGCTCTAACTACAAAGTGGGACATTAATAATTACTGTTGTACATATTAAACAATACAGCTAAGTAATATTGCAGTAGCATTAGCTAGGGAAACAGGATTAACCAAAATTTTGAAATATGTCGTGGCAACCAAATTGGAGCCAAATGAAATTAACCATCCATCCATCACGATATTGATGCCTTAATGATTCTCAGCTTTAGATTATACTACTGGCTTGTAAGTTACATTCTGCAAAGCACCATTGAGAACGTATCGTAAAAATATACAAGAAGTCGGATTATTAGGATATAACCAAAAAAAAAAAAAAATCACCAAATTCCAGAGTGCCAGCCCATTCAAAACAGCGAGTAAGGATTGGTATTCGTATTTCGATAAGCACTACCAAATTAGAAATATTATATACGACATTTAACAATCATATTCATCCCTTTGTTGTGGGGGGGGGGGTGGGGAAGTTTGCCAGGAGGATTTTGATTATATTATTATTATGACCATTATTGAGACCAAAAAAAAAACGGTCGGAGACTGTTGAAAGTTGAAAATAGCATGCAAGAATCATCTTCTTCCTTCCGTAATAGATAAATGCCGTAGGTAGTACATTAGAATAAATTCAGGAAAAATAAAAAGGGGGAGGAGGAGGTACCGTTGAGACTAGAAAAAAGCACGTGGATCATGAGATAATGGGCGGGAGGAGTTTCATTAATCTTAATCCCCTGTTGATGGCTGCAAGAAAGGAGGAATGGCTTCTCCAGTTGTCCAGGTTTCCACCCTCTTCCCCCCGGGAAGCAGCCCGGACGCACGTTTTTTCTTTTTTTTCCTCCTTCTAAATCAATACCAGCTTAATAAGAAGTCCCTTAAATTTTTGGGGATTTTTCTTTATAAATTTTTGTGAGGGCCAAATTTCGGTTATTAATTGGGAGTGGATTTGGATCGTATATCTTGAACATTGAGGGGGTGGTGGCGGTGGTGGTGGTGGTTGTACACGAGCAATGCAGCTTTTTGCAGTTTGGTGGGAAGAAGAGAGAGAGGGTGGGAGATGTGACACGTGGTCTGCCGCCCCTCTCTCCCACCTAAACCGTTGCTGCCTTTCAACGCTTAAAGCATCCCTCCCAAAATCCCCGTGGGGCCAAAAAAAAAAAAAAGGAAAATGGAAAATGGCCGGTGTCTTGCACTTTTAGTTTGTGAAAGAAAAAACAAATAAAAGCAAAATAGGAGTTTTGAATATATTTTTAATCGTCAAAGTTGATGTGAGTTGACAAAGAGATTAAATTAAAGTGCAACGAACAGAACAGTACAGAACATTATATTTATTATCTTCCAAAAAAAAAAGTCACACACACTCAGGGGGCTTAGTGTGTTTTAATTAATTTTTTAAAAATATACAAATATCACGTTCAAAACCGGGCATGCATGAGTAGAACATTACGAGTTGGATTGCGGAATTGGATGGATGGACGGACAGATGGGGAAGTGGAAGAAGACGCCGACGGACGGAGCAGAGGGACGGGCGAGGGAATGAAAACTGAAAAGATGAAAACAAGGCGAGAAGGGCAGCAGGGGAGTTGGACTGACGTGGTTATCAAGCGGGGCCCCGCCAAAAGGTCCTCCAGTTGGCAGGTTCGCCAAGAAGATCGTCCTCAACAGAGAGCTTATCACAAAACGACAGCATTCCACCCGTCTTCCTAGGCAGGCTTCCTAGTAAACACACACACGCACGCATCAGAGCCGCACCATCAAGAATATGCCAAGGTCCACCTCACAGGCTCACACGTGAAACAAGTTCCTCCAGCATATACTCCATGTGCTCTATTCTCCTCCTGGTATTACTATTTACTACTGTAACTGCGGAAGGGTGATCCCGGCCCAAATAAGATCCTAGTGCCACTTAATCATTGGAAAGGCAATGCCACTCCTTCATTTGATGTCAAGTCAAATATTTAATTAATTTAAATTAAAATCAAATATCACATGATAACTTAAATTAACTGAATACTTAGCATAATTTTAAGAGTGATAAGTGGCACATAGGATCTCAATTGATCCTCGCCGCGCCACTTCCATGTTGTTATCATACTTCGCGTTTTATCTATTGTGTTAGTGAAAAAGTGTATATATTCTAAAAAATTTAGAATTTTCTAAAAAGTTTTGCCAACGAGTACTTAAATATCCGTTTAGACCAGTGGTAATTCAATCCCCTCGGATTCCTCATCTTAACCCTTTTGGGCCACCCTTCCCCTTAGTATAGAGTGGAAATAGGTTTATATTAGAATCTATCGTGTCCAACAACAAAATATATATATATTAATTACAGGAAAAAAAAAAGGGATTCATCTAGATGATGTATGTGTATGTGTTTTTTTTTATAGTTGATTAAAATTTTACTGTGACTTACTATAGACTTATATAAAAACTTTTAAGTATCAAGAATTTGAAGAAAATTTCCTTATTTTCTTTTTTCTCTTTTTTTCCTTTCTTTCCTCTTTTCTTCTTCCTCTCCATACCACCATTGCTTTTTCTCCTCCTCCTCTCCCCACCGTCAGCTTCCACCTCCTCACCCTTTTTTTCTTCTCTCTCTCTCTCTTCTCATTTTCTATTTTTTTTCTCATCCTCCTCCCTCCCTCCCTTCTCCTCTTCTTCTTCCCTCTTCCCCATCACACCCTATCATCTCTCTCTCCCTTCCTCTCATCATCTTCCCCTTCTCTCTCTCTCTCTCTCTCTCTCTCTCTCTCTCTCTCTCTCCCTCTCTCTCTTTGATTGCATATGGAGGGAGAAGAAGAGAAGAGGTGGAAGGAAAGGGAAGGAGGTGGTAGGGAAAGAGGAGAATAGAGGAGAAGAAGATTGAGGAATAACGAAAAATAAGAAGAAAATAGACAAGGAAAGGGTGGTGGAGACGAGTAGAAATGATATGAGAGTGTGGTGGTAGTATATGGAAAAGGTCGCATTTTTTTTAGTATTTTAGGGTGTGTCTTTTGTAAAATATAGGGGGTGTTTTTACAAGTTCATGTAGCAAAAAGTTAGAGAAAAACTACCTATCAAAAACATGAAAAAGGCATCCAAACAGAACCTACATTAAAAATGTTGCACGTGCTATTATTGAAGTTTTTATTAACTTTGTATATGTAAGTGTGTACATGCATGTTTTTTTTAAGTAAAAAAAAAACATTTTATTAGGAGGTAAAGGAACCTAATTAAGTCACCTACTCTAGTTTTCAAGTTTATTTATTTATTTGACATGTTTGAAATTATGTTTAAATTTGGTTGATATATTTATCGAACGTAATTCAAACAAGTTTTTTATTGAACCGAATTTAAATCGAGTTAAAAAAATTTGAATATTTTATATATAAATTTAAATTACCATATTGATCATGTCAAATTTAAGTTGAAATTACAAAATTACCAAATGCAAAATATTATTGTTCATGTTTAGTTTGATTAGTTGGTAAACTTTTCAACAAACTTGATATAAATATGGAATAGTTTTGTTGACTTTTTAGCCCTACAGTTTGCTCTTTCTCAGGGAGATCAAAAAGGGGAAATTGAAGGAAAAAAAGTGATAGCAACATCAAAATGACTCTTTACACATAGTGTAATGGCCCTATTTGGCAACTAAGTTTTTTTTTAACCTAATTTTTCTTCTATTAGTTTTTTTTTGAATAACTTTAATTATAAGAATCTCAAAAAAATTTTCAAAATTTTTAACATCTTTTGCCACCATCACTTTCCACATTTTCCAGGTGAGGGAGGCAAAAGAAGAAGAGGGAGGAGAGAGGAGAAAGCACCGGTAAGTGATTGTGGCGAGAATGACAAATAAGTCCACACGAAATTTGTCCACACGAAAGCTCTGTTTTCAAACTCGGACCAGACCGGCCGGTCGAACCGGGAACCGGCCAGGTAGCCGGTCCGAGTCACATTTAAAAACCGGAAATGTAAGACCCGGTCAAAGCCGGTCAAAAACCGGGTTTGACCGGGAAAAAACCGATTTTTCCGGTTCAACAGTAATTTTTTTTAAAAAAAATTCAAACTTTTTAATATTATGTTTTGGCCCCCTAAATTGTTAAAACTTATTGATATACCTCAAATATTTGATACTTTATAAATATTGTCCTAAAATTTGATGTTATTTTTCAATTAAATTCATAATTTTAATTCTAAACTTGTTAATATTTATTAAATAATATAAATTGCTACTTGATTGTTCTAATTTCTTTGTATTTTCTTGTTAAATATATTTGAAACATCAAATATATATGAATATACCTTTATTAATATCAATATATTATTAGATATTATATATATAATATTTTAATTTTTAAATAATTTTTATTTATGACGTCATCCGGTTCGACCCCTATCGACCCCCGGTCGAACCCATTGACCCCTGACCCCTGACCTCGGCCGAGTCGCTATCCGGTCCGGTTCTGAAAACATAGCACGAAAGTTATAAAAAAATATAAAAAAATATTTTAATAAATTTTTAAATGTACTTCCAAATATGTCTGCGCGAAAGTTTTTATTAACAAACAAAGCTGCAATAAACAATAATATGTTCTTTCAAAAAGTAGCCTTAAAAGTATCTAGTCCATTCGGACTCCTTGTTAAGATATTTTTGCATTTTTGGCTCCCTAAGCCTCGTGGGTCGTGGTTGTTGGACGGGGATGATCATCATGCTAGCAAAGGACACACCACTTAACATGACATTTGCTAGATTGAGTTAGAAAATGAAATGTTTAATTTTTTTTTTCTTAAAAAAAGATAAAATCAAACATTAGAAAAAATAAGGGAGGGTCGGTGCAATAAATGAGAAGAGCAATTAGTGGCTGGAGCCCTAACATAATAATGGTTGTAGACTTGTAGCGTAGGAGGAGGAAGGTGGACTGGTGGAGGCCGGAGGGAGGGATCATCCATCATCAACTACAAGTCCTGAGTACGTGCATTCATTCGTCCCGTGTAAGAAGAGTGGTAGTGTTACCCATCAACTATCAATCCATGTGATCTCACATCTTAATCACACTCTTCTTGTTGTTTCTACAAAAGTGGTTTTGCTTTTACCACGACGTGACATACCACATTCATGGGATTTTTTTTTTATTATTTAAATCACACTCCTATTCCTGCAAAGTGCTTATTTTTATTTCTACAAAGTGATTTACTGCAACGTGGTAATTGCAGAATTTTCGAAGATGGTAAATTATAGGCGTCGAGACTCAAATTTAGACTAGTGAGAGAGAGAGAGAGAGAGGGCGTGTGTGTTGTATACAGTAGCAAGAAAGGAAAGCGGTGGTAGGGAGGGTTGGGGGCTGGTGTGGTTGGACGACAAGTTGGGGTTCGATTCTTAAGAATCTCCGCTGGTTTTTTTTTACGCATTTAAAAAAGTTGGCTTTGCTATTATTTTTCCTTGTCAAACAAACGGAGAGAGAGAGAGAGCCAGCCAGCCAGCTCCCGAGACCCAGACTAAAGTAGTCTTCGTTGTAACCTAATAAAAACCTCCATTTCTCTCTCCCTCCCTCGTTAGGGTTTTACACTTTTGGTTGGGTTGGCTGGCTTGGGCTCTTCCAACCGCAGTATCGGCGGTGGTTAATATAAGCGGAAGAAGAGTAGTATTTGACGAGGAGTAGTAGTTGTTATCGTTGGACTAACGCTGCCACCTTTCCCTTCCACTTCCAAATTCTCACTTCTCACCTCTACTCATAATTTTCACCCTCTTTGGGGGGACCTCAGAGTTTTTTCCTTTAAAAAAAAAAAAAATCTTTTTGATTTGGTTCGGGTATTTTGCGGTCATGGCCTTGTCGTCGTCGTCTTCCCTTGTTAGATCCACGCCATCCCCGGTTCTCCAGGCTTCCCGTTTCGGATCCTCCTACCATCAACCCCAGGTTTTTCTTCCTTTTCCGCCCTTTTAACCCTTGTCTCTTCTTCTTCTACTTCTCTTTTTTCTCTTCATTTCTTTTTCCCCTGTATGCAAAACATGTGCTTAACTTGTCAGTATTTCCTTATTTTCGGTGTTACGAGAGTTTTATACTTTCTTTTTTTTTTTCTTTTAAGTGCATTTTCAT